GAGAGAGAGAGAGAGAAGAAGAAGTAGATGTATGTTCGTATCATGGGTCGCAGATCTGAAGATCCCATATGAGTGAACATGAACATGAACATTTACAGACCATGTTGAAATAAAGACTTCATGCCTTTAGAGTCGGGTTTGAATGCTGGTTACAGTTTGAATCAGGGATAGCAAAATAGCTGTATTTGTTTCTGAGACTAACAGGTTTGTCCCTCTCTCTGTCCAAGGTACGGCAGTCTTCCCTGAGGTCGTACATCGGTGTGGTTCCCCAGGATACGGTCCTTTTCAACGACACCGTCGGCAACAACATCCGCTACAGTCGAGTGACAGCTAGCAACCAGGAAGTTGAGAGAGCTGCAATGGCTGCTGACATACACACCAGGATACTGGAGCTACCTCAGGGTCAGGCTGGGGTGTGTGACTGTGTGTAGATGCTAATGATGAACATGCTTTTGTTGCTTGACTTGTTGGCTGAAGCAGATCTGTAACAGGACCAAGTTTGAATCTTGATGTTGTAAAATTTGGACGCAGAAAGTGAATAACGATGATAATAATGAAGATGATGGCATGTGTCCAACCAGGGTATGACACAGAGGTTGGGGAGCGAGGTCTGAAGCTCAGCGGTGGGGAGAAGCAGAGAGTGGCAATTGCTCGAACCATCCTGAAGGAACCTCGGATCATTCTGCTGGATGAGGTGAGGGTACAGCAAAGTTAGCACTCATACATAGGGTTACAACTTTTAAATACTTGCTTTTTAACACCATGTTCAGACAAGCAGCTCAAGTGCCAGTGGCTTTGCCCACATACTTTCTTGCGTGGTTTGTAAGAACATGAACCGTTGTTTGAGATCTTTTATTTTTGTAGAAAAGAAATATGGCGACACTTGAGGAGGTTACTATATTGTCAATGTTGAGATCTTACTTCATTTCCTGATATACATCCCCCAACATTCCCCCACTGTGGCAGCTGTAGCTCTATACGTCCACTAATTACATTGTTAGTGGTTCAATACCCGGCTCCTCCAGTCCTCCACATGTCAAAGTGTCCTTGAGCAAGACACTTTAATGAGAGCAAACTCTCTTTTATAAGATAGACTTCATAACAAACAAAGAGTTCAGTCACACAAAGCAGTTGTCACACACACACACAAACACACTTTCCTAATTCCAAAGTTTGATCAGATAGTAGCTAAACTGTCTTTTAAGTAGTGGTGAACATTGCAAGTCTTTCACTTGATTATGCTACTTACTTACCTTTTACTGTACATACACTAATATATTGTGTTTGGTCCACCAGGCCACTTCTTCACTGGACACCCAGACTGAGAGAAACATCCAGGCTTCACTGGCCAAGGTCTGCACCAACAGGACAACTATAGTGGTCGCACACAGGTGACATTACTACCAAGCTGTGTTTCTATAAATAGGAAGCTTCTTAATAAGTTACCTTGTTTTACTTGAGCAGCAGACAGTAATATAAAGGCACAAAGTGCTACAACTCATAGCCACTGGATGCTGATTATTATTGAACTCAGATACAAAGTCAGTTAACCTTCCAAGAAGACAAAAACGTACAACTTTGGTTTTAAAAGACAAGAAAATGTAGTTAGGGCTTATCAAGAGTCAATATGTGAGTGGCCCTACATAGACATAACTTTGGTCGAGCTAAATGCTAAAGTCATGCTAACATGATGACAATGACAATGCAAACACGAAAATTCATGGAATCCATTCAACAATTGTTGAGATATTTAAGGCTGGACCAAAGGGGTGGCGTGACCCTTGCTGCTAGTGTGGCTAAAAACCAACAAAAGCAGTGCAACAGTAGTCGAGATTTGTGTGTAACATTCAGGAGGCTCTATTGTCAGAAATG